TCTGAAAATGTGAGTCTCCCTCCCTCAAGCATGTGTGTACTTGTGCTGGGAGGTTGTCTAGACGTGTGGATGCGAGTATGCAACATGTGAGTCTTCCTTTTTGTCTCGTTCGAACTGTGATCGACTGTTTCTCACTCCAATTTGAACTAAACCTATTTTGACTTGAATCAGGACTTATTAGAGAAATTTCAGAAGATTTGGAGCTCCTAACACACAGAAAGGCTAGCTCAGGAAGACACATGTCATTCAAGTAAATAACCACACGGACATTAGACAAATAATACTTGTAGGGATCACTAGGACGTGCTAGTGTGCAGGCATTCCCAACCTTAGTTAGAAATAACATGTTAAGGACTTTGAAAGGGCATTTTTGGATGATTACATAGTATACGTATGTTATGGAAAAATTATTAATATGCCCCTAGTTTGAAATTTCTAAGAAGCATGTTGTTTTATATTTTATGCAAAGCTAGAAAGAGGACATGCATGACTAGAATACGAGTTGGACAATATGTATGAGTAAACAATGTAAGATGCAAGAAATTATCAAAGTACCCTTATGATGAGATTGGTGATGAATCTTGTTTTATATGCTTTTTATATACTATGTTAGAAGAAGGATAGGTTGTTGTAATCTGTGCTTCGAGCGATTGATGGATGCTAACTTCCTATTAAGTTTCTTTTCTTGTTTGTTTGGATGAAAGGTGTAGTTTATATTTTAGTGATTTAGGTGATTGATAGGATATCTCCCAAATAAGTTTGCAAGCATATTTAGATTCTATATAATGTGCTCTAGGTGATCGATTGGATAATCTTCCTAATAAAGCATGCACAAGAGAACTAAAATAAGAATAGAACAATAAGCCTGCCCATATTGGGGCATGGAGCCATATAGGTTGACTCAATAGTTTGCTGGCACACGAGGGTTTGCACCCCTCCCCCAAAGGGTTTCTATGGTCTTATAGAAGGGTTCACCAATTAACCTTTCATCGATGACGAGTAGGCTTGCACATAGTGATATTATCCCCACTATAAAGAGAGTTCTATAAGATAGCGCCTGAACCAAGTACACTGAACACTCACTGAACAAGCAAATCAAGCTACATAAATCGAAGAGTAGAAAGGTTGTAGAACTTGTAAAAATCCCTAGGGCATAAGAATCTGATAAGAGAGTTGCTCGAAACATCGAGGCACCTTAGATGCTCAAATAGCAATAGAGACTAGGTCTGAACTCCCTGAGCCTAGAGTAAAGCTCGTAGAAACCTTCTAGGATAGGGATGCGATGAGAGCTTACAAGTAGATTGCTTATTGAGTATTTTTATACTCACCCCTTTCCTCTTTCCTTTTTAGGTGTCCACAGGCTATTGGTCGAGGTGGAGGAACATTTGAGAGCTTTGCGGTCATAAAAAGAGGTCGTTTTGGACCATCAATTTGTCTTAGTATTTGAGTTTTTTCAATTATATTTTGTAATTGTATCTCCAACCCATTTTTTCCTTAGTAATAAATTTGAACATTACTATCTTATAATTGCATTTTATTTTGTATTATTATTGGTGTTTGGTTGTCTTCATATGATTTAAATTTTACCTATTTTTAACTTTGGTTTTATTTTACTTTTCTTTATCTTCGTCTTTTTAGTCACAATCCGAATTTTAAATTTCGAAAATCGAGTCGTAACAAATTGGTATCAGAGCAGTCGAATTTTAGTTTCTCTAGACTTTTTTTTAGAATAAAGCGTCGACGACAAGCCTCATTGCGACGAAGTATGTAGTTTTATTTTACTTTTTCTTTATTTTCTTTCATCTTCGTCCTTTTAGTCACAATTCAAATTTTAAACCTCGAAAATCATTTCGTAATAGATTGGTATTAGAGCAGTCGAATTTTAGTTTCTCTAGACTTTTTCTTAGAATAAAGCGTCGACATTTGTTGTATGTTTTGGGTGTACGTTATATAAATTTTCAGTTATGGTAATATCCTCAGGGGTTAAAGAGTGAATATTAATCCTATAAGTCGATGTTGGATTCGAATTGTGTTTTATTTTTATACGATGATGAGACCGAAAGGGGTTATGATATAGCAGACTAGCCTTAGGACGATAGAGAGTTGATGTTGGAGTGCGAGATGTAACGGCCCTGGCCTACCGCTAGCAAATATTGTTCTTTTTGGGCTTTCCCTTACGGACTTCCCCTCAAGGTCTTAAAACACGTATGCTAGGGAAAGGTTTCCACACATTTATAAAGGGTGTTTTGTTCTCCTCCTCAACCAACGTGGGATTCTCACAATCCACCCCCCTTTGGGATCCAGCGTCCTCACTGGCACTCGTTCCTTTCTCCAATTGATGTGGGACCCCCACTTAATCCACCCCCCCCTTTCAGAGCCCAACGTCCTTACTGGCACACTATCTCGTGTCTTCCCCCTTCGGGGGACAGCCTCCTTACTGGCACACAGCCCGATGTCTGGCTCTGATACCATTTGTAACGGCCCAGGCCCACCGCTAGTAGATATTGTCCTCTTTGAGCATTGTGAGGACCCACGTTGGTTGGGGAGGAGAACGAAACATCTTTTATAAGGGTGTGGAAACCTTTCCCTAGCATATGCATTTTAAAGTCTTGAGGGGAAGCATGTGAGGGAAAGCCCTAAGAGGACAATATCTAGCAGTGGGCCTGAGCTGTTACATGAGATGTCTAACCCATGGGTTTGAGTACGAGATACCTTAAGGCTCAATACTAGATCAAGAGGTACCTTTGACCCTATCTTACGTGACCATAACACGTCAAGCATGCTTCCATGCAGACTAGCAGTAGCCCTAGAAAATATAGTTTACTCAAACAATGGTGACCACGGAGGAATCAAGCACCCCTCAAACTGACCATTCTCCTAAGGAGTTTTGAAAAAGTTGGCATTTCAAGGGATAAGATTGACCCACCTTGAGAGGGTTGCTGTAAAAGTCATGGCTACAAGGTTTTGGCTAGAGTCATTGGAGACTAAGTTCAAGTTATGGACTTTCAAGGGCGTGAAAGGCACGTTATGCCATTTGTTATGAGGTGTTAGACATTTCTGTTGAAGGATCGCCCCAGAGATGATAATTTGCTATGGATCTTAGGAGGTCTAAGCCTAGTATAACACATAGTTATCAAGATTATGTAATCACGCTCTAAATTGTCTTTAGGATTGGAAAAGCATGCCCACAAAGATAAGGTTGTGGGATGAGTCGAGGGCAACAGAAAAAAGGTCAAGCTATGGTCATCCACGTTAGTAGGAATTTACTCTCAAATAGATTTTCTGGATTACGAAGAGAATGACTCCAATTTCCCACAATAATGTGAAATTTCCCACAATAGTGTGATTCACCACAAAACTTGGACAAAGGACATTATGATTTGTTATAGAGAAGATATTTCCAGAGCTTAAGATTAGCCACCACATAAAAGCTTACAATGAGTTCCCTAGAATCTCAAAAACTTAAGAGGGCTAATGCGCTCGAAAGAGCCAGTGATGGAATATCACTATGAGAGGAGGCAGGACTATATCAACCATATGGTCGTATTAATAAATAGTCGTATGGTTGTATTGTAAATAGTTGATATGTTTAAAGCTTCAATTAAAATTTTAAATTTTAAATTTCATTAATTATATTTATATAATAAGAAAGAAAATTAAAATTAGTATTGAGCAGTATAAAGTACGGTCTCCATAAGAGTGCACACCCATTATTTTTTCTGCAACTAAATCCAATTCAGAACAATAATAACAACAACTCATCCAAACCCTTCTTCTGTTCACACGTGGTGGGCTCCACTCCCCACTGTCCAGACCCATTTCCCACGTGTCATCATCCACGTGTCCCCCTCTCTCCATTCATCCCTTTTTCACTATCTTTTCCACTTTTTATTTTAATCCTCAAAATTATTATTATTACTTGCTTATTTATGATTTTGGTTTAAGATTAAAAAAAAAAAAAAACAAATGGAGTAATTATTTTATTACCCCATAAAACCAAAAATATAGAATTGAATTATGAGATTTTTTTTTATTTTTTAAAATTAATTAAAACATTTATTTATCCATTTATAATTAAAATCTCATAAATTCAAATATAAAAACTTTATAAATCACATATTTTTATAAAACTCAAATATCAAATATTAAAAAAAACAGTAAAAACAGTTACAAATGTCAATTATTTTTAAGAGTAGATAAGGTTAGATTGTAATATAATTGGATACGTGTACTAATCCAACTCACCCAACCCAATTCTTATGGAGTAGGGTTGGATAGCTTGAGTTTATCAAGAGTAGGGTTGGATAGCCTGAGTTTATCAAGAGTAGGGTTGGATAGCCTGAGTCAGTCGAGAGTAGGGTTGGATAGCCTGAGTCAGTCGGGAGTAGTGTTGGATAGCCTGAGTCAGTCGGGAGTAGGGTTGGATAGCCTGAGTCAATCGGGAGTCAGTCGGGAGTAGGGTTGGATAGCCTGAGTCAGTCGGGAGTAGGGTTGGATAGCCTGAGTCAATCGGGAGTCAGTCGGGAGTAGGGTTGGATAGCCTGAATCAGTCGGGAGTAGGGTTGGATAGCCTGAGTCAGTCAGGAGTAGGGTTGGATAGCCTGAGTCAGTCAGGAGTAGGGTTGGATAGCCTGAGTCAGTCAGGAGTAGGGTTGGATAGCCTGAGTCAGTCGAATTCTCAGATCATATAAACACTACTACTTTCAACTCCCTCTCCCAAACTATATTATAATATTTAATATAATTTTCCTAAAATTAAAAGAAAAAAAGAAAAGATTCATACTTTTAACGTTTTCTTGAATATAAATTTAATGACAGAATTCATGACTTCCCTTAAATCACGTAATTTCAATTAATTCGATCCACTAATTTCCAAAAAAAAAAAAAAAAACCAAAAATAATAAACATAAATCTCCAAATATTAGAATAATTCATATTTTAAAAAAGAATATTATAAAGAACAAAAAAATGTACCTGTGAATTTGTGTTCTTCGTATGAATTTCAAGAAAAATTAACATGAACACTCGCATTAATGGCCGAATTACACACAGGACAAGTATGGAGTCTGGACCCACATATTGTACACAAACACAGATGCCGGCACGGCAAAACCAGCACCCTCGACTCCGCCGCACCACACTTCCGGCACCGCCCTCCTCCACCGCCGGAGTAACTACTCCCACAGCTCGACTCTGCATCATCGGCCACCGCCGCCGCCTCCTCGCCGGCGTTCGCCATTAAAACCTGCTCCAAATTAGTCCTGAGAGAGTTGAGGGTAGCTTCGTTCGTCTCTGCTAAATTCCGCCATTGTTGATTCTCCAAGCTGAGGTGTTTAACTCTCTCTTGCAAAACCCAATTCAGTTTTCCCATTCTTTCAATTTCCTCCTCTTTCTCCTTTAATTTCTTCACTACTCTGTCTTCAATGGCGCTCACCAACATTCTCGATTGCCTCTGTTTTCTTTCCTCCATTTCCATCATCACCTTCTCCGTCTGTAAATCCAAACAAATCAGATTCCAATTTCTTAACAATCATCAAATGGGTTTTATTCAAGAAAGAGGGATTTACATGAATTGCAATGAACCGATCGATTTCAGAGCGTTGGTGTTCAATATGAGAGATGATCATTTCTTGATCAAACAACCTCGGCGGAGATTCGTCATAAACAGAGCATCTGGCTCGTTTCCTCGACGGAGTAGAGGTGAGTCCAGTATCGGGGTTTCCATACATCGGAAAAGTAAGAGAATGAAGCGGCGGCGCGGTGGGAGTGTTGGGGTCGATGAAATCTCTGAGAAAAACAGAACCCATTTGAGAGAGAAGAAGAAGAAGAAGAAGAAGAAGAAGAAGAAGAAGAAGAAGAAAACAGAGATGAAATGAAAAGGGGATGAAGGGAGGGACCTGTTTGTTATGAAGTGGGGGGTGGAAGGGAAAAGATTGATGGGGCGTGCTTCAACCGCCATGAAAATCGGTTGGGTGGTTCTTGGTTGCGTTTCTTGTGATCAGAGAGAGATCTTCTCGATGTGCTGAACAGATAGAGAGAGCACGGAATTGATGGCCGCGACAAGGAAGGGCGGGGAAGATTTTGGGTTTTAATTCGCCATTAAAATAAAGTCAATGGATTTATAATTTATTTATTATTATTATTTTTTTTTTTAACAATAACTTCAACCAATTAGGAATACCACATGGGGTTATGGCAGTTTCTTCTGTACTGGATTTCAGTTTTTTTCCTTTTTTCTTTTTTTAAATTAAATTCAATTAATATCCTAGGCCGGCTAGCCAGCCAGAGGGGTAGTTATGGTATTTCCCTTTGATCAAAATCCCAAATAATTACAATTTCCTTTATTGTAACTATGTCATTCACGAGTACTAGAATTTTTACTGTCATTTTATCAGCAGTAAATGGGTCCACGTGTCAAGAAGGCAGATGCCACGTAAGCAAAATGTGAGGTAGTGATAGGTGGTGGAAAATATTGGCTAAAATTTTCTATTTATAATTATCAAATAAATTTTTTTTAAAAAAACTAAAAGTTAAATATGGCATATATATGATAAATTATAATGGAAGGTTAAATATCTTCTAACACTCCCATGAATTGAGGGTTGGATTTGAATGAACGTGAAATTTGGATATGAAAAATTCAAAAGAAGATCGATCGAGACTAGAATCAGAGAAAAGAGAATCATTAACAGTAGGATGTTGAGAAACAACCCTGGGTCGAGAATCATTAACAGTCAGGTGTTGAGAAACAACCCTAGGTTGCAAGTTAGAGGGTTCAAAATTAGAGTGATGCTCTATCTTAAGAAAATGGCAAGAGAAAAAAGAGGGTAGAGACTGAGAATGTAGACTCTATGGTGTATTTTAGACGAAGAAAGAAAGAGAGGAGGCGAAGACTCTATGTGTATTTTAGACGAAGAAAGAAAGAGAGGAGGCGAAGACGGTTTGCTATCAAGCAAATGAGCACGAGTAAGAATAACTCGAACATATTTTAACTGACGAATAAAAAAACCATAAGAAGTGAGTGAAGAGCCACAATGATAGATCTAAAGACCATGATTCTGTTCACAACACCACCATTATCAGGACTAGAGGCCGACGACAGAACAGTAGGCAGAGTCGATGGAGAAGTAGCTGGCACCATAGCCCGAGAGGAAGGGACGAAGACGGTGCTAAATACGTCCACGTGTCAAGAGGGCAGATGCCACGTAAGCAAGAAGTGTGGTGGGTCAAGAAACGTGTGAGGAAATGGGGCCCGGGGGGAGATGGCACGTGGAGGAGAAAAAAGAAATGGGTGGTGGGGCCTTAATAATGACACGTCAGGGGGTCCCAGTCAGTGCAAAAATAGAAAAATAATAAAATAAAAATTCAAAAACTTTCCAAGCAGTTTCCTTGTGTTGTTGCATTAAATAAATAAATAAATAAATAATTTTCTTAAAAAATATAGAAATTAAATTGTGTCAGGTGAGTGCGTACGGAGCATCTGGAGTAATTGGTGAAACGGAGGCATGCGTGGTGGGGCTCGAATCCGGTGTGACTCAGGTACACCATAACATGGTTGTGTTAAAGTCAAATCATAAAATCATTGACTTTTTTTTTTAAATAATTATTTATTCCAATTTATTATAAAAACTGACTTCTTAAAATTAAAATTTATGTAAAAAAGATTTAATAAATTTATTTCTTATAAAAATTTGATTTTAAAATAAAATAAAATCATAATTATTGACATATTTGTGTTCATATTCATTAATAGATTAGGTAAATTACAGATATTCCCCAAATCAATTTCAACATGTAAAATTTACAAATTAGGAAGATCATTAATTTCATTAATTATATTAATAAAAAAAAAAACCAATACCAAGAATGTAACAATAATTAAGTCCTTTCAAGTAATTTTCTTTTTTTCTTTTTTTGGAAAATAATGTTACAGTCAACTAAAAAAAATTGAGTGAATTGAGTCGTTCGAGTTCATGCAATTCCAACATCACACCCTATTTTAGAACTGTTTCACCGTGAGTAGTGACTAGAACGACGTCATCATTGAAGGTGGGAGGAAAAATAATTTTGAGTCCTATTTCTTCGTGTAAAAGCAAGAGACTCATGTATGGATAACTTGTTTGCTAAGAAAGTCATGGAACGAAGTCATAGATTAAGTTATGTTTTGCATTGCTAAGTTGTTATGTTTTTTTTATGTTGCATAGGATGTGAGATCCCATATCGGAGAGGAGAATGAAACATTTCTTATAAGAGACACACGTTTTAAAATCGTATGACTGACCGTAATATGCAATAGGTCAAAGTGGACAATATCTGCTACCGTCGTTGGGTTTGTTTCTAATATTGTTCTTTTTCCAAGAATATTTCATGATTTAAACAATTTGAAATATATTTTTTTCGCTTGATTTAGTAACGTTAAATGTTTAAATTTCTCCCTTTATCGGGATCTTATTGAATTTAAAAATATATATATTTATCTACTATAGGTTGGTAACTGATGTTACTGGTGAGTTATGACTCGTGATGTTAATGTAACACGTATTGTTGATAAATAAGATTAAAAAAAAAACCGACAATCCAACTCAAAAATAGAAGGTTGGGTAATGAACTCTTTTCGGACTGTTCGATCATATTAAATTAATTAATAGGGGATTTATTATTTCAATGTCAACCAATGTTGAGAAAAATGAAAATATAATATGATATTAAGATATGGTTTGGACGTATAATTTAATAATGGAGTAAGTGGGAATAATATATGATATACAAATACATTATACTAAAGTGAAGCACATGGTAATTATAATGTTGTTTAAATTATATACAATGTATTTGGTAGGGTGTTGGATACCATAATGGGAGAAAATAAAATAAATAAATAAAGATATAAATATTACATAATATGGGAGATAATTATATTTAATAAAATAAATAAATAAAGATATAAATATTACATAATATGGGAGATAATTATATTTAAATGATGCATGATTGGTGGGTCAAAAACTATGATCGATATTCCACTCTCTCATCCATGTTTTTTTTTTTTTTTTTTTTTAATTTCTTTGAAAGAAAGGAAAGAGAAAGTCAAATTTCCTAGAAAAATCCAATTTTAAAGGATTCAAGGAAATTAAATACCAAAAAGACATAATTATTATTTATTTTTCTTTGTAAGGGAGTGATGAACAAGGGTGAAAAATATTATATAAATTATTTTTCGAAAAGACGTCTAAGGTGTTTCGTTTTTCTCCCCAACGAATGTGGGACCCCTACCAAATCCACCTCATTTAGAGCCTAACATTTTTACTGGTGCGTGTCTACCCTCATTCAAGGAACAACCTCCTCGCTGGCCCAACGTCTTTACTGGTTCACCACCTCGTGTCTACCCCCCTTTGGGGAACAACCTCCTCGTTGGCACACCACCTCGTGTCTACTTCCCTTCAAGGAACAGCCTCCTCGCTGGCACATTGTCTAATGTCTGGCTCTGATACCATTTGTAACGGCCCAAGTCCACCGCTAGCAAATATTGTTCTTTTTGAGTTTTCCCTTTCGAGCTACCATTCAAGGATTTTAAAACGTGTCTTCTAGGGAGAGGTTTTCACACTCTTATAAAGGGTGTTTCATTCTCTTCTCCAACGAAGGTGGGATCTCACACATCTTTTTATCAACAATATATTTTTTTTTTCAATTTTGTATCTAATATTTTAACGATGGTAATCTTTTATTCAAAATATTAAAAAAAAATCAAGTTTTTACGGAAACATGTTAGGTTAAAATACCATTTTTGTCCTTATATTTTAGCTTTTGTTTTATTTGTGTATACTGTATTCGGTTTACTTTCAATAAATCTTAAATTATAATTATTCGGTTTGAAATTAATTTTTACCAAAACTGGAAAAATAATAATGATAACTTTCCTTTAGTAAAAGACTTAATATGAACATGTTTTAAAAGTATTTGACGTTTGTAACTAATGCCAGTAATACACTCTACTTGTGAATATTTGATATTTGATGTTTGAGTTTTATCAAATTTTAGTTATTAATGGAACATGTATAGTAAAAAATAAAATTTTTTAGACAATTAAAAAAAAGTGAATGATCGGACAACTCAACCCAACTTTTCTGGTAGAGCATGACAATACCGAATAAAAAATGGTTGGATCGAACTGAGTTGTAAACTCTATTCAAGTTGCTCGAATCACAAATCCAATCAATTCAAAATTTCAAGTTGATTCAAAGGATTTCCGGAACCCAAATGTCCACACGAAATTACATAAAAAAAAAAAAAACAAAGAAATTGAATCCTATGGATTTGGTATGATTTACTTCCCATCCAAACAATTTTCAAACATGAGGGCTAGCTTCCTAGAAGTTTCCAAAAAACAAATTCAAAGAAAACATGTGTCCATTTTTGGTTTAGGAAAGTTGGTGAAAATTTTGGTCGACACATCAAAAGATGTTGTACAAGAACAACTCACACCCATTTTTGTTGGGTTTTGTTTATTTTCAACTTTCCCATCCTTCAAATTTGGCTGCTGCTAAGTAATACTTCCACTTTCCACTTTCCAACCTGTTTCCTTGGACGATTCAAACTTTTGGTTCAAAAAAACAGACATGATGATGAGAAGTAGTGTAATAGTTGAAGTCCACCGCTAGTGGATATTATTTGTTTTAGCCTGTGCTGTATCGTCGTCAGCCTCACGCGTTTTAAAGTTTTGAAGAAAATCTTGTAAGAAAAAAGCAAAAATGACTATATCTACTAACGATAGACATGGACTGTTACAAGCACTTTTTCAAAGTTGTGTATCGCCGTCAAAGTGTAACAGTTCAAGTCGATCGCTAGCTATGTAACATTTCAATTAAGTGAAAGCACTGTGAAAGTTCGAGCTGATTGTTAGTAGATGTTATTTGTTTTGGCCTGTTATGTATCGTCGTCAACCCTATGCGTTTAAAATTTTGAGATAAAATTCAGAGGAAGCCTAAAAGGAACAATATCTGCTAGCGGTAGGCATAGATTGTTACAAGCACTTTTTGAGAGTTGTGTATCGCCGTTAAAGTGTAACAGTTTGAGTCAATCACTAGC